CGGGGCAGGCGTGAATCGAACTCATGCGGAAGTGGCTTTAGCTTCTTAGTGCTGTGCTTTAACCTGCTGGGCCACCCGGGTGGGCACCTCAGTCATAAATTCTTTAAGTATCTTTCTTCCCCAATATCTTTCTCCTCTCTAGAGATATAATGTTACAACTATTTTCTCTTTTTTGTAACACAGATTGCTGGTGCTCTGCCATTAAAAAAAAAAAAGTACATTTTCTCTGTTTTTCTAATTGGATAATTTCTCTTGCTCTATCTTCAAGTTCACTGACTTTTCCCTCAGTCACATCTATTCTGCTATTGCACTCATTCAGTGAATATTTTATTTCAGACATTGAGTTCTTTACTGCTAAATTTTCCAGTTGGTTCTTTTTAATAGTTTCTATTTCTGTGGCCGAGAATGGCTATCTTTCCACTCATTTCAAGAAGTTTTATTTTTACTCAAGAGCATGGCATATAATAGCTGGTACAAACACTTTGTCATTCTAACATCTGAGTCATATCAGGTCTGACGTCGATTACTGTGTTTTCCCTTTCAATTACTGTGTTTTCCCTTGAAATTTGGTTATCATTTCCTAGTTTTTTGTGTACTGAATAACTTTGCATTACATACTTGATATTTTGGATAGCAGGTTCTGAGAATGGATCCCATTAAACTCCTCTGGAAATAGTGCTTTCTTTTGTTTGACTTGCAGGCAGCCAATCCAACCAGGTTGAGACCTGGTTTGTCTTCTGTGAGCTTTGATTCTCTCAGTCAGACCAATCTTCAAAGCTCTTTTGGGTCTGCCCCAAAGAGAAGCAGAAGCCTTTGTTGTTTCTTTGGAGCTGTCCTGCACATGTGTAGTTTGTGGGTGAATATGATTTATGCTGGCTAATACAAAAAATTTTAATAGTTTCTGTTTAATAGTTTCTAGAAAAGGGTTACCTTTTCTAGATCTCTCTTTCTCAGGATTTCTTCCACAATCTCTAGCCCCCACAAGTCCCATATCATGGTTCCTTTGTCTAGAAAGATGAATTTTGTCTTGATGGCTTAGGTATCTGCCTTACCCCACACAGTCAGTGCCGTTCTGAGAGACAGGGCCGCCTCGGGACGGGCCAGAAGAGGAAAAAACAAAACGAACGTTGGTGTTTCTCCTGTGCTCTCTGGCTCACTGCATTCTACTTCCTGGTTCTCTGGTTAAAGAGGTTGTTCTTGGGATTTTTGTTGTCTTCACTCACTGTGAAGTTCTGTGACTCAAGCTGCCCTCAAGGCAAAGCCAAGAGATTAAAAAACAAACAAACAAAGAACCAAAGAAAACTCCATTGTTGTGGGTGATTCTTAAAGTTGTGACTTTCTTCTCTAACTTGTCTGCTGTTGTCTACTTTTCAGTTTCTTTTTCTGTCCAGGTTTTCACTTGTAAATAATGAAAAAAGAGGCTGTAGTGGGCTGACTCTGTTTTGACCAACACCAAGAATGAGGTTTATTGTTTTCTCAGCTTTTTCCACAAAGATGTTCACTTGTCAATGATTTCTCAAGCCCTCACTAGATGCTGGCTTCTGTCCCAGTTGATCTGCTTATTCTGCTCCCCACTCTGGTATATAATGGCCATCTGCACCGACAACCTAGCAGGGAAGAATGACAAGGAATAAACCAGCACGCAGGATGACAGTCACTTGGGGGAGTATCCAAGCAGTGGCAGTTATAAAGGATGGAGCCTAACTGGAGAACAGAAGCATGACTATGAGTTAATATAATATGCCATTTCCTAGCAAATTGGCACACTCTTACCCACTTACAGTGGGCCATGTTCCAGAAACTGAATAGGGATCTTAGTAAACAGTACAGTTGGAGAAATGGCAGGAAATGAATAGGGAGGTCAGCAGGGCAGGTCATGGGGATTTCTGCAGGTCATGTTAGAGATTTTTTTAACTAGTTCCTGGGTTATTGAGCACCAAAGCATACCCATACATCTGATATGACTAGAGTTGGCTCCCGTTTTATAGCTCAGGAAAATAAGGTTCTGAAAGTAGCCTGCGGCATGGTTTTAACAGATGAAATGAGAAGGTCCAGAGAAGGGTTTTATGTAAGCCACAGTGGGAGTACACAGCATAAAAAAAAAAAAAAAAAAAAAAAAAAAGGACTTGTGGGGCCCTCCCTGGTGGTGCAATGGGTTAAAGCACAGCATTATGAAGTGATCCACAGCCACTGCAGCACCAGCTCAATCTCCAGCCAGGGAGCTGACCCACATGGCCCAGCAGACCTCTCCTGACCCGCCGCTGCTCCCCTCAGCAGTGTATTTCAGTCCATCTGCCTGTTCTGCTTCCCATTCCACTTCTGGTGAATTCTGTCACCCACTGCCCTGCACGTCTGACCTGTACCTCAGTTCTTGTATGCATAAAAAAATTCTTAAAAATGAAAAGGACTTATCACTAAATATCCAACTCTCTGGCTGGTCATACTGTGTCTCCTCCTTCTCCCTTGCTGCTGGGTCCTGTTGTCTTTTCCTTCATCTTTTCATCTTTGAAGAGCAGGGGAGGTGTCAGGAGGGTGAGTGTATATGTGTGAATGTGTTGCTTATGTGTCCCTGCTGCTGGTACCATTTCTGACTATTGCCTCAGTTTGTCCAGCAACATGATCCACCAGTTTGCAGCTCCTGGGGAATTCACTGTGTTTGCCGAGTGTACAACCAGTGAGTGGCATGTGACGGCTCAGAAGCAAGTGACAATTCAAGACAAGAGGGAGAAGCTCAGTGTAACTGGGTGCTCTGGCCTGGCCACAGCGGGAGCCAATCCTCTCTGCCAGACTATCTTCAGGGACCCTCTGTGGATTCAGGTGAAGTTTGATGGAGGTGAGTCAGCAGAAATGGTAACCTTGATTTCCCTGTAATCTATCCATCCAGGTTTTAATTAAATAACAACGGTGATCCCTTGTGGAGTTAGCTTTATAGCCATTCTTTCATTTAGTAGCTAGTGTATGACAGAAACTAGTCCAAGTGCTTTAGGTATACTAGCCCACCCAGTATATACTATTATCTCCATTTTACAGATGAAGAAATGTTCAGAAACTTGCCCGAAGTCACAGACTAGTAACCTGCTAGTGAGAACACCCAGGCCTACAAAGACCCTTCGGTGCATGTCCATAATCCCATTACAGAAACTGAATTTCCAAGCTATCGGAAACTGGGGGAGTTTGAATAGGACTGAGAGTGCTAACCAGCCAGGCTTGAACCATCTCAGCGTAGCCAGCACTGACCAGTTTGGCACAATTGTGTTGCCCCCAGTGAGGGCAGTATACAGCTGTACACGTTGCCACAGTCACTCACTACAGCTGCTGTGCCTGGTGTCCACTCTGGGGGATTAGCCACAGAAACCACTCTGGTTGGTGTCACGTCAATCTGATTTGTGATGACCTCTGTTCTAACTGACCATAACAACACTTCTTGTTGGTCATAATGTCCATTCTGATGGTTACAGCATCCATTCTGATGGTCACAACATTCATTCTGGTGGTCACAATGTTCATTCTGATCTATCAGAACATCTACTCTTCCTGGTTGGTGCCCTCAGAGTCACCCTTCTCTCAACAAAGAAATGACACACATCCTCATTTAAGGTAGCTACGGTGCAGGTTCAGTTTGAGATCTGGGCGGAGGCCTGTTGATGTAACCCATGCAGCACAGTGCTCCCAAGGTGAGAGCTGACTCAGGCCAACCTCATACCACATCAAGCCTGACTCACTGCAGTGACTTAAGGGAGTTAGAACAGACTTTCAGTGCCAGGCTTGGACTCTTTTCTGCTCTTACATGAAGGTTGGCTGAAGATGGCAGCTTCAATAATAAAGAAACCTAAAATAATCCTTCATTTATTTATTCCTTCTCCAAATACCATTGGGTGCCTGTTCTTTGCCAAGTAAAGGGAGCAGCGGTAAATGTGAAAGTCAAGGTTGGTTGCTCACAAAAGAGTTTTACCATCATCATCATCAACACTATCATCATTATCTAACAAGAAATACACCAGCCTGACTTCCATTGGAAGGAGTCAGTTTGGTGGTTTATTTACTTTAAAAAAAAAATTATCTATGCATAAAGAACTGGGGTATAAGCCAGAAGTTTGGTGGTTTAAATCAAATAGCTGAGTGAACTGAAGCACTCAACATCCAGTTTGCACAGCCACCCCCAAATAAAAGGGAGCCCACCTTGTTGTGAGCAGATTGAGTTTCAGGCAGGAAGAAAGCAGCTGCTTAAAAAAGGAGTGAGGTGAATTCTCATGTGTAGTAATCACATGCCCTTAAGAGGTGCACCCAGTTTAGCTTTCCTTCCCCCAAAGATATTCCTACCCACAAAATGTTTTTTATATTAAAATGTTTTTAACATTTTTAATATAAACTTTTAAGTTTATGGGCAGCACATGCATCATACAAATAAGCTAGAATCTGCAGTGTGCAGATAAACAGAGAGGACCCCCTCCTGAGATCATTCACGAACCCATTACTGCCAGTATTTGGGGGCAGGGTATATCTTGGCATATGTCTTTATATCTGTGTGCGCACCCATGTCCCCATCAGAATTCAGACTTCAGAGTTTGAGTCAGAACAATCTTGGTATAATCAACTGACACATTACTCAATGTGTCTTTCACTATCTAGGAATAGGGGTCGTGACTTATACTGTGTTATTGAGGAACATGATCCTGGCTGAGTCTACCACGCGAAGGGGCCCACTCCCCTACAACCTGACCTTGGACAGAGCAATCCAGGAGCAAATGGGCCCAGGGATGCACCACCTGGAGATCCGGGCCTCCAGCAACACCAGCATCGCTGCATCCTCCAGGAATATCACAGTCTACCTCGTGGAGCCTCTGTCAGGGCTGCGGGCCTCCTGGGCTTCTGACCAGTTGGAGCTGGGACAGGACTTACTGGTTAATGTCTCGGTGGCTCAAGGCATCCCAGAGGGGCTGACCTTTGAGATGGCGGGACTCAATGCAACTTTTTCCTACGAGGAAGACAGTCTTGGGGGATCATCTGGCACTTACCACTTGGCAGTTCCTCTTGAAGGTACTCGGGGGTTGGTGACGCCCCTTCCAAACCTCCCTCCTCTTTTCTTCTGAACGTGGCATCCAGGGTGCTGCCGGCCAGTATTTCAGTGTTTCAGGATGCAAATATAGTTCATAGCATCCAGCCTAGGTCACAGAATAAGAAAGAGACAGGTATGATTTGCCCTCTTGGGGCTTACAGGGCTTTCAACTTTAGGGACCAGCTTATTCTTTGCGGTGAGGGTTGTGCTTTGCCCTGCAGGCTTTTTTTTTTTTTTAATCAGCCTTCCTGGCTTCCACTAACTTGACCCCTAAGTCATGACCACCAAAAATGTCTCTAAACTTACCAAAAGCCCCACCCCCTCACCCTCCAACTGAGACTACTGGCAGGCAGCAGGATATTCAAATTTCTGTTCATCCTTGGAACTTTGGCTCTTGCTCTGTTAGGTCACTCCTCTCCCCTCTGAGGTTAGAATGACCCCCGATCACCCACACACACACACACCCTGCAGCACCACCACCACACACAATAGACCCCTGCCTAATCCTCCCATGGTTTGACACTTGGTCCGGCATTTCTCCTAGATTCTCAGGGCCCTGAGGACATGACCAAAGGATTTCTGTGTTCTGAGATCACTGCCTGATGCCTGACATATGACGTTATTCATTATATGCTCTGAGGTTGAATATCCTGGCATTGCCAGCAGGAAACTGGAGAAGCATGGGCTAGGAGCTGTGACTCTGCTGGTTGAATCAGGATGACAATGGCCACAATTCTCCACCCTCTGCATTGCAGGCTCCTATCTGGTCACTGTGGTAGTGAGGAATGCCTTCTCCAACTTGAGTTTGGAAATTGGAAGCATCACTGTTACAGGTAAGAGGGTAGATAATTTGTGACCAGGAGTGTAGGGTGTGGCAATTGCTTGGAACCTAGTGAGGACCCATCAAAACAGAGCTCTGAAAATGCATATTGTCCTACCAAATTGTCTGGGTAGACAAATTGTCTGAAGAGACAAATGATGTCTGCAGTCAGACATTCAGCCATGGATACAGAACTTGGACTCCAAGACATCCAAGTTTGTAATGGTTTAGGATGTTTTAGGCTGCAACTTAAGTGAACTTAAATTCAGTCTTTTATTATCTCACATCCTCAGAAGTTAGTAAGTAAGAAGTTCCAGGTTGGCTCAGTGCTGCCATTAAGGACCCAAGCACAGTCTGTCATTCTGCTCTGCCAGCCTCAGTGTTTTTGCATCTCATTCTATCAAGTTGCTTGCTGTAGCTCCAGATATCACATCCAGGATCTCAGCCTGATCCAGCAGCAGGAGAAGCCTCTGGTGACCCTCTTTTTTGTTTGTTTGTTTGTTTTTTTATGAAAAATATTTCCTTCGAGTCCTTGGCAATCTTCTCCTCCAGTATCATTTCCCTCAAGTCCGTGGCAATCTTCTCCAGTATCATTTGGCCAGGGTAGGATCCTGGGACTAGTAGCAGTAGGGGATGCCAGGAAAGCAGGTATTTGGCATTTTTAGTTCTATGTCAGAGGGTGAATTCTGGCCCAGACTCTGATTAGCAAGGAATAGAAAAGCATTTCAAGTTGAAAGAAAACATCAACATAGAAAAGTCCAAGGCTTAGGCACAGCTGGATCCAGCTATGCCATGTTTTCAGAAATCCTTCTTTCTCCATGGCTTTTTCTATGTTGGCTTCATTCTGCCTTGTGCTTCCCAGGCAGCCTATGATGGCACTAGGCTTTGACACTTAACCTCAGAGAAGGAACACTTATTTTTTTTCTCCCTTTGTGGAAAATATTTTGACTTTTTAAAAATTATTTTATAATAGTTTATTTTACATCATTTTGTGCCTTTTTCCATCTCAGTTGTAATCCCCGTGGACTTCCTATCACCAACTTACCCGTGTACCATCACCATATTTGATCCTATTCCCCACACCATCCCTGTAAAATGTCTGTGGTATATAGTTGTTCATTTCCCCCCCCCCTCTGGTCCTTTATACTCCTGCTATGAGTGAAATAATACAGTATTTTTCTTTTTCTTTCTGGTTTATTTCACTAAGCATGATTGCATCCAGCTCCATCCATGTTGCTGCAAAAGGCATGTGTTTATCTTTTTGACTGCCGAGTAATATTCCATTGTGTATATGTAACACATCTTTTTAATCCAGTCATCTACTTTTGGGCATTTGGGTTGATTCCATTTCTTTCCTATTGTAAATAAAGCAGCAATAAACATGGGGGAAGGATCACCTATTTTTTTATATTTCTATCAGAAATCCTGAGTCTCCCTCTCACTGTTCCAAATTCAGTTCCTATTTCTTGACTGGCTGAGGAGACCTGAGAACCTGCATGGACCATGATGACACGTTCATCCTGGAGCAGGATCTGGGGTCAGCTTCACCCAAGCCAAGGACTGAGTGTGGAGGCAGGATGGGTCCCTAGGAAACATCATCCATAGCTGCCAAAAGAAGGGGCACCAAGATGCTTACATAGGGGGAATGTTGCATGTTCACTTTACTGTGCATAGCCTGCTTTTTCATGTGAATAATTTAAAGTCCAGCGAGGTTAATTCACTTTGCAGATGTCACTCAGCTTACTTATGGTAGCAACTATTTCTCTTAATTTCTTCATTGGGGGGTTATTAGATTGTTTTCCTTCTAGGTCAAGCTCTGTGTCTGACATCTTTGTATAATTTTATAGAACTTTGAAGTTATGGTTGTGAGAATGAGAATTTACTAGAAGTTTTTTAAGATAAATAGTATCCAGATTTTAAAATATCCAAGTCACTGAAGTCTAGTGAATTACATGCTATGCTAATCACTACATGTAGATTTAACATTCATCACAGTCATATCTCAGTATTTTCAGAACATATCAGCTGAGAGAACCTTCTTTGTTTTTTAACATGCATGACACATTGATCTTCTTTACAAACATACAGCTGACAAAGCAATAGTATATTCAGAACAGTATGCAGTCTTCTGGTGCCTTAAAAAGTGGGGGCTACAGCTCTCC